CCGGACTCCCTGGTTGTTGACAGGATTGTTTCCTGAGGTTGTGGGGCTGGGGTCCCGTTTTGCTGCTGGCCACCCTCAGGTTCTGGCTGCCTGGCCCCCTTCACGGGCACTTCTTAGGAAGGCTAGCAGGAGAAAGCCCTTGGACATCTTCTGACCCACCCAGGAGACTCATCCCAAAGCCAACGTTTTTAGTTACTCTGCACACTCCCCGTGTCATGCAGTGTAACATCCCATCCTGGTCACACTCATGGGAGGTGTGGGCAGTCTGTGCACACTGGGGGAAGGGTCAAGGTAAACAACTAAATACCATGTTCCACCCACGAAAAGGGTCACGTGGCTGCATTCATAGAAGCCCAGAGGGAGGGGTGCTCACAGGATTTCCAACCCTGGGAGGTTGGACATGCTCTGGGGTGAGCGGACACAGGGCCACGGGGAGCCAGAAGGAGAGTTGGAATGCCTGCGGAGTGGATGCAGTCGGGAGAACCAGTGGCAGAAATTTTGCCCCTCCCCCCACCCCCCCGCCATTTATTTATTTATTTATTTATTTATTTATTTATTTATTTATTTTGAGTGGAGATGAGTGGCTATACAAAGGAGATGAGCAGATCTTCTAGGTACAGGCCTAAGAATTTTGACAAATTCACACCCAAGTGACCCACACGCCATCAAGGTAGACAAGGTGCTCAGTTAGTTAGAGCATCATCCCAACACACCAAGGTTTCAGGTTCGATCCCAGGGCAGGGCCTATACACGTACCAGCCAATGAATGCATAGCGAAGTGGAACAGCAAATCGATGTTATTCTCTCTCTCTCATCAATAATTTTAAAATATTGCATTATTTATTTATCATACACACACACACACATACACACACATACATTAGAGGCCTTGTGTACAATATACGTGCACTTGAGTGGGGGGGGGGTGTCCCTCAGCCCAGCCTGTGCCCTCTTGCATTATGGGAGTCCTCAGGGGATGTCCGACTGTGGCTTAGGCCTGATCCCTGCAGAGCGGGCCTAAGCTCTTAGTCAGACATCCTTAGCACTGCGAGGAGGTAGGCTACTGTGCTTGCCAGCTGTCAGCCGTCAGCCTGGCTTGTGATTGAGTGGTGCTCCCCCTGTGGGAGCTCACTGACCACCAGGGGGCAGCTCCTGCATTGAGCGTCTGGCCCTGGTGGTCAGTACATGTCATAACAACTGGTCATTCTGCCGTTTGGTCAATTTGCATATTACCCTTTTATTATATAGGATTTTATTGTTGATGGTATTACAGATGTCTCCTATTTCTCCTCCCCTCCTCCAGCTCCTATCTACCCTGCTCCACCCCCCAACACACACCTCCACCCCCATCTTCAGATTGGTCTTGGACCAGGTGGCTCAGATGGGTGGTGTCGTTTCATACACACATACACATACACAAGGTTGTGGGTTCAATTCCCAGTTGGGGCACATACCTAGGTTGCAGGTTCAATCCCATACTGGGGCATGTGCACTGATTGATATTCCTCTCTCTCCCCCTTTCCTCTCTCCCTAAACATCGGGCGAGGATTTAAAAACAGAAAAGGTTGGTATGAACTTCCTCCTACAAGTCTTTGTTTGGACATAAGAGTTTATTTTTTATTGCTCTTGTCCAACGCTTGGGAGGAGGTGGCGAAGTTGTAGGGTAGGTGCGTGTGTGGTTTAGGAACTGTTGAAGGTGACGAAGTGGTTGTCCCGTTTCACAGAGCCACGGCAGCTGGTGTGGTGTGATTTCAGCCGATCTGGTAGCCTCGTAGTGTTCACCTTGCATTGCCCCGAGGAGGCGTCCAGTCTCACTGGGGGAGGTGGATTTGACCTAGGGACTCTAAGTGTCCCCATCTCACAGCTAAGAGACAGAGGAGCCCCTGCCTGTAAGATCCTGTCCTGGGGAGGACGCCATTTCTAGAGCCAACCACACCCTTAATGTCACCAGCTCTGCTTCTCGGGAAAGTAGCTGCAGGCAGGGACTCTGGGCTGGGGACCCCTCCCGTCAGGACTGGCTGCCCCCTCACACATTGGAGAGATTACGGGGTGGGCTGCCTGTCCCCCCCTCCCCCCGCTGGCAGATGGGTCCTGGGAGCTTCCGGGGTCAGCTTGTGGGACTGACCTGATGGGGGAGCAGGAGGGGGCTGGGGTTTCTTCCCCAAGGGTCCCCTTTTCCTCCGAAGAATGCCTTTTCAGGGAGAAGGAGGGAAGTGCAGCCCCTGGGCCCTAAGTGGGGTGGCAGGGCCCGGGAGAGAGGCCTGGGCACTGCCCCTGAAATTCTGGGCCGGGAAAAAGTGGGCACCGTGATCTAGCATACAACCTAGGAACGTGCTCCAATTGGAAAGGACTCGGGCGTGATGGGCCTGAGGTTTCCTTCATAACGCATTTTAAAAAGCAGACTTTAAAAAGCAGACTTTAAAAAGCAGACTTCGGTAGCATGCAGGGACCCTTATCTTTCCCTGTGGGGGTGGGAGCGAGGGGCCGAGAAGGAAGCATGCAGGCGTGTTGCTGGTCTTGGCCTGGTGTTCTCAGCCAGCTGGTTCCAGTTAGAGAGAGGATTCCAGTTAGAGATGAGTCACAGATGGATTACAGGAGTGCTTCCTTCTTAAAGGGGGAATGCCTATTTCTGAGTCTCACTTTCCTGCAGGAAGTGGTCCCTGGGTGGCCATCCCCACGTGGGCAGGAGAAACCCCCGGCCCACCTGAAGGAGACTGTGCCCTGCAGGCTGGGGAGAGGCAGGCGTCCTCCTCACCGTCCAGGCCTGGCCACCCTCCCCTGCGCCACCCTCTCCAGGATGCCCTGTGGCCTCCCTGCCCCGGGCACGGCCAGGAGGTCCCCGCTGCCCTGGCTGGAAGCAGGGAGGTGCTGATGCCTGCTCCCGTGAGGCCACAGGCCCCACCACAGCCCTCTCAGGCAGGCGCTAAGGTGCTATGAGCCCATTTTGCAGTTGAGAAAACAGATGAAGGGGTAGGTGACGGGCACAAGGTGACACACTGTGAGCCGTGGGGAAGTAACCAGTCCAGGGCAACCCATCCATGCTGCGGGGACCTCCTTGAGCTGGGGGGTTCGCAGGGCTGGCTGGGCCCATAGGTGGGCCCCATGAATGATGACCTAGCAGCTGTCTGGCTCCTAGCAGGTCTGCATGTAACGGGAATTCGGCGGCTGAGGTGAGGTGAACCTGACACCAGCTCATTCCACGTGGGGTGCTGCTCTTTGCAGGAACCAGAGCGCATTTGGGGCGTCGTCCCTGCACCAGCGATGGCTTCCCTGCAGCTCAGCCCTCAGGGCCACATGTATGAGGCATCTGATTGAGGGGCGCCCCCTCAGCCCCCTCAGGCACCAGTGCCCCGCCACCCCTGAGGGACACTCGCCAGGCTCTCTCCCAGCGAGCCTTGCCGCCATGGGCGTCCTGTCCTGCACGCCTGCCTCCTTTTGCTGCTGGCCCAGCTTAGCGGGACTCACATCCTCCCCGCGGCCGCTGCCAGCCCTGCCGGGGGAGATGGGCATGGCATTCTAATGGCTGTGATTTCCTCCCAGTATGCCTGGCTCAGCTCCCCTACACCTCACCCTTCCCGAGGAGAGGCCACTCCCTGATGGGGGCAGGCACAACCCATTGCCCTCTCCCTGGAACCCAGGGCCCAGTCTCCCAGGGCCTGCCTTCCCACGAGGCCTCCCGGGTCCCTGCCACCCTCCAGAACTCCTGGTGGTTTTGGTGTCAGCGTGTGGCCCTTTGGGGGTTTTATCTTCTGGGTGGCCAGCTCTCCGAGCCCCCCGAGGCCGAACCCACCTGTGATCCTGCAGCTCAGAGTGTCGGGGTCCCTCCCAGATGCTCCCCAACTATAGACGGTCTTCATGCCACTGGGGTCATGCCCTGGGCCCAGAAGAGGGGTGGATGGATGGTGTCTGGCTGGCGCTGAGTCGGAGGAGGGCATCCCACCAGATGCCCTAACCTCCACGTCCCCTTCTTGGCACCACGTGCACACACGGTGGGGATTTTATTTATTTACTTTTAAAATATATTTTATTGATTTTTTACAGAGAGGAAGGGAAAGGGGTAGAGAGTTAGAAACACTGATCAGCTGCCTCCTGCACACCTCCTACTGGGGATGTGTCCGCAACCAAGGTACATGCCCTTGACCAGGATCCAACCTGGGACCTTTCAGTTTGCAGGCCGACGCTCTATCCACTGAACCAAACCAGTTACGCAACGGTGGGGATTTTAACTCCTTGGAAAGACGACCACAGAGAGAGGAGTGAAACTTTTATTTGGAAACTTTGCTGAGAGGAACACAGCTGAGAAGAACACAGGAAGGAGTAAAAAAATAAAACAAACCGGTAAAGAGGGTCTTCGGTAAGATGCAGAATCACTCACTCCCCGGAGGGAGAGCTTGGGCACATCCCCGGTGGCCCAGCTGCCAGGCCTCGCCGTACATGGGTGGGGGATGGGATAGCACCTTTGTTCTTGGGGTTTGCCAGGACACGGGGTCAAGGAGACACTACAGAGTGCTGCTCCCGGGAGATGCTGGGTGGGCAGCGTTTGTGGGGTGCCCCGAGCCCTCAGGCTGAGGCTCAGGAGCCGAGGCCCAGGCGATGAGGGACGGACCCTCCCACCGCTGGCTGCCCGGGCGGAATGCAGTCCGTCACCTCCCGAGCACTGAGCGGCGGCTTGGACTGCAGTGTGCACGAGATGTTACGTGGACGGATGTTAGGATTGCCGTAGGGCGTGGGGGCAGCAGGCAGCTGACACCCCGAGACGTGAGGTCTGGGGGTCCCGACGGGCGGGGGCGGGAGCCTGCGGGCAGTCCGGGATGTTCACTCAGGGTCAGGGGTGCGGGGAGGTGGCAGGACCCCGGGACCGGGGTGCAGACACCCGTTCGCATGCCAGCTTTTCAAGCTTTTCCTTCTTTTTTTAAAAACAAAAACAAAACACCTAGCTAGTCGGGCCGGTCGGGAAGATCCGCGTCCCACGTCACCGTGTTCCGGTTTGGGGGGGCCAGTTAGCCCTGGGCCACCTTCCTGGACACCGACTGGTAGAAGACGCCCCGCAGCAGGGCCTGGTAGCTGGGCACGCGGAACAGGTGGCGCTCGCCGAAGGCCACGTCGTACTCGGCCGTCTTGCCGGTGACCAGGACGCGGACGTGCGGCTCGTTCACCTGCTGGCCCACCACCACCACGAAGAGCTCGATGCCCGCCCGCTGGGCCTCCTGCACGGCCTTCTCGATGGCGGCCGCCGTGGCGCCCTGCGAGTTGCCGTCGGAGAAGAGCAGCAGCCTCTTCTTGGCGGCGCCGGGCGAGGCCTCGCGGTAGAAGCGGGTCACGTAGCGCAGGGCGTCGTTGACGTCGGTGGCGTCGTTGAAGAAGTCCATGGCGTCCACGGTGCCGGCCAGCACGGTGTAGTTCTGCAGGAACTGCAGGGCGGCGCGCTCCGGCTGCTGCTGCCCGGTGCCGCTGTACTGCACCACGGCCACCCGCACGTCGGGGGCCGCGGCCGCCTGGCCCGCCGCCAGGAAGCGCTCCGCCAGCCGCTTGGCGAAGCGCTTGGTGGTCTCGAAGTTGTGGCTGCCCACGCTGGCCGAGCCGTCCAGCAGGATGGTGATGTCGGCCGGGGAGGAGAACGTGACTGCGGGCGGGTGGGGGTGGGGTGGGGGGTCGTTAGCACATGGCAGGGCCTCAACGTGGCCAGGGGTGGGGGGACCGGCCAGAGGCACCGAGCCTGGGAGAGCCGAGCCCACTAGCCTGTTATCTCCAGACCCTCCCCACCGGGCACACCCCCGCCCCCCCCCAACGCCATGCCCACACCCAGGTACTCACTCGGGCAGGTGTAATCTGGACATTTCTTGTCTGTAAGAGAAAAGCCCCACACGGCGTGAACCCAGCGGCCACAGGGACCGCTGGTCGGTCTGTCACCCCCTCCCCCAGATGGCACCAGTGCATCTCCGTGGACGGCACGGTGTGGCCATGCAAACTGGCGTCCCCCCCGAGTGCCTCGGCAGCACCCCACCCGGCACCTCCTCCCCACCAGGAAGGGAGGGATGGAGGGGCCCCCAGGCATTATTTCATGGTCCTCACACCAGGCCAGGGAGGGGTGAGGCAGAGTCTTGGCCCTCCGAGAATGGGGACACCGGGCCTCAGAGAGGTCTGCAGGGCAGACGCTGTGCTGCCCCTGGGTGTGCTGCCCCTGGGCCACACCAGCCCAGGCACGCGGATCACAAGCCCACTGTGTGGGGGGGAGAGGGCCCACGTCTGACCGCGGCAGCTCTGGCTGCGGCCGGCACTGTGGTGCCCCTGCAGCCCCGCCCGCGCCCACCTATGCAGATCTGCGTGGTGATGTTCTTCAGGAAGTTGTCCTCCAGCAGCTCGGCGTAGTTCTCTTTGACCAGCGAGATCCCCTGCCGGCCCTGGGGGACGAGGCCTTGGCAGGAGATCACGTTGAGCTGGTCAGAGCCCGCGACGGAGCCGAACACGTCCTTGATGCCCACGGAGACCACCTGTGGGAGGGAGCGCGTCAGCCAGCCCCAGCGGGGAGGGTGCCCAGGCCGCGGGGAGCGGAGGTGGCCGCGGGCGGCGTGGCCGTGGCCGTGGCCCCACCCCCCACCTGAATGTCAGGGCCGCAGAGCACGTTGAGGGGCGTGGTGTCCCGCTGGGTGTCCGAGCGGCCGTCTGTGATGACCAGGGCGATCCGGTTGTTCTGAGTGGGCGGCAGGAGCCGGTCCCGGGTGTACTGCAGGGCCTCGCCCGTGAACGTGCCGCCCGCCATCCACCGCAGCTTCTTGATGGCTCTGTGGGGCCACAGCGGGGTCAGCACCGGGGCCAGGGCTGGGCCAGGGCCCGGGCCAGGTACAGGGTCAGCATTGAGGTCAGGGGTGAGCCTGGGCCTGCTGCAGGGGCTGGGTGAGCATTGGGGTCAGGGATGAGCCTGGGTCTGCTGCAGGGGCTGGGTCAGCATTGGGGTCAGGGGTGAGCCTGGGTCTGATGCAGGGGCTGGGTCAGCATTGGGGTCAGGGGTGAGCCTGGGTCTGATGCAGGGGCTGGGTCAGCATTGGGGTCAGGGGTGAGCCTGGGCCTGCTGCAGGGGCTAGGTGAGCATTGGGGTCAGGGGTGAGCCTGGGCTGCTGCAGGGGCTGGGTCAGCACTGGGGTCGGGGTGAGCAGGGGCCTGCTGCAGGGGCTGGGTGAGCACTGGGGTCGGGGTGAGCAGGGGCCTGCTGCAGGGGCTGGGGTGAGCCTGGGCCTGCTGCAGGGGCTGGGTCAGCACTGGGGTCGGGGTGAGCAGGGGCCTGCTGCAGGGGCTGGGTGAGCACCGGGGCCAGGGTGAGCAGGGGCTGGGTGGGCTCTTGGAACTGCTCATGTGGCTGCATGTCACTCACTCCTTGAGCTCCTGGGCGTTCCTGATGTTGGGGTTCCTCAGGTCCACGTGCTCCTGCATCTGGTTGTGGCTGTACTGCACCACGCCCGCATGCGACTGTCCGGGCTCGAACTGCGTGGGGACAGGCACTGAGGTCAGCTGTGCCCTGGCTGCCCTCACCCTCCGTCCGCCCCAGGCGAGGCCTGGCAATGGCTCTCACGTGCTGGTGGTGATTGGGGTTTTGGCTCTGAGAATCACCATGCCCTGTCTCCCAGAGCCCCCGGGCCTGGCCCCTCTCCAGCTCGGTGTCACCTTCCCCAGCGCGTGGAGTCCAGGGAGGGACACACCTTGACCAGCTCGTCCCGGCTCAGCCGGTCGATGACCTTGATGATGAAGTCCTTGGCGATCTCGAAGTTCTGCAGCCCGATGCTCTCGGAGCTGTCCAGCACGAACAGGATGTCGATGGGGCCGCACTTGCACTCTGCAGGGGGCGGGGGCAGGGGCAGCTGCTGCTCGAGGCCACACAGAGGAGGTATGGGGGCGCCCCACCACCCCCGGGGCCGTCTACCCCGGAGCTAAGACCACACGAGTTAGAGAGTGACACTCACCACAGCAAGCTGGGGAAGAGGAGAAAGAGGAGATTAGGTGACCGAAGACCCCGAGTCTTAGGTGATCCCCTCACCCACTCCCCACCTCCTGGGCCTCCCTCACCAGGCTCCTGGTGCCTCTCGGGGGGAGGGGAAGGGAGGCCAGCAGTGGGGTTGAGAGTGGCCCAGCCCCCAGGGACATTCTCTCAGATGGGACACACATCTCCCCCCCGCCCCTCCTCCCTGCTCTTTCTAATAGTTATTCAAAGTGGAGACAGACACTCACAGCACATTTTCATGATGATGTCCAAAATCTCGCATTCCTGGGGAGGAGAAGACACTTGCATGATGGGCCGAGTGGCCAGCCAGCCAGCCAGGGCTGCCCCGGGCGCTGGGTGAGGCCGGCCCTCTGGGTCACCTTCCTGGGGACCTCAGCCAGGCTGGGGGTGGGCAGGGGCTCTCACTGTCCAGGGGTGTACCCTGCGCTGACCTAGGCCCCTGCTTCCAGGGCACGGGCACCGGAGGGGGTCACTGACATGTGGCCATCATGTGCCCCCCGTGGCCGTGTTCCCCTGTGCCCGTCATGTCGCCTGTGGCTGTCACATGTCCCTCCAGTGGCCATCGCATGTCCCCCTGTGGCTGCCAAGGGTTTCCACCCCCATGGGATCCCGAGGATGTTCACAGACACCCACTTACATCCGGTCCTGGTGGTCCCGTGGGTCCTGGGGGTCCCTGTTGGGGAGAAGATGGGAGGAGGGCTTCAGGGTCTGCTCGGGGCCCCCCTTGCCAGGCTCCTGAACTGTGGGTCTGACAGGAGCTCTTGGCCAGCCCCCCTGGCCCTCGGGACCCCACCTCCCAGCAGGAGCCCCTGAATGCCAGGGACAGCGGCGGCTTCTGCCCATGAAGGGCTGGGGAGAGGCAGTAACTGTCGTCTATTACACGACCACGTCAGTGCAATCTCTTCTTGGTGCCAGTGGGGGCGCTGGCCGTGACCCTGCGTGCAGCCCGCTCACACTCACTGCCCATCCAATGCAATGGCACCTCCTCTGTGGGCGGGGGCCTGGGTGCCTGGGTGCCAGGCCTGGGTGCCAGACCTCCCCAGGGCCCTGCCCTGGGCTTTGCTGTGCTTCTGTCTCTGTCACCTGGTGGCTGGCCCCTTCTCTCTCCCCATTCAGCACCCCTAAAGTGCCCCTCAGAACTGTCCCCTCTGATGCCACCTGCCAAAGTCCCAACTTCCCCAGCAGCCTGCTCCCCAAATTCCCACCTCCTCTCCCCAGACCATTGTAACCTCAAAGTCGCAGGTACGTCCGCCCCCCCACCAGCCCCCTGGGCCAGCCACGCCTCCACTCACCGGGGGGCCTTCGGGGCCCCGGTACCCCTTTGCGCCTTTGGGACCTCGGGGTGAAATGTCGTTGTTCTGGAAGAAAAGAGCTTGTGTCACCACCACAGCCACCGTCCCCCCAGACTCCTCCCTCGGGATCTCACACTGTGCGGGGACGGGGAGGTGGCGGCACTCACGTCCTCTCCGGGGTCTCCGGCTTCTCCCTCGTCCCCCTTGAGGCCGGGGTAGCCTTTAGTGCCCTGCAGGAGATAAGGAGCACACAGTTAGTGGGGTGCAGAGGCAGGGGCATGTGCTGGGCTGGGGTCCCGCCCAGGGTTAGGAGGGACCAGAGTCCCTGAGCAGGGGCATGTGCTGGGCTGAGCTCCGGCCCAGGGTCTCAGGGAGGCAGCAGCTGGCCCACGCCTCCCGAGGGCGCTCAGCCGAGCTCCCTGGATGGCAAGGCAACTCGTCCACCAGTGGCGTCCTGGCTGTTCCTTTCCTTCACCAACTTTCCTGTTTTAAATCAGCTTCACCAAGGCACAGCTACACCCACTTCACTTCATGGTTGAGAGTAGGTTTCAAAAGACAATGGAGATATTGTCTGCCCCATATGTGTGTTTGTCCATGTGAGAGGGTCTGTACGCGTGTACAGGTTTGTCTGTATGCACGCTTGTGTGTGTGTGTGTGTGTGTACATGTGTGTGCACATACCAGTAGCCTGGGGATGGGCATATACTCACGTTTATCCCGGGAGGGCCCCTGCTGCCCGGATAGCCCTGTGGGGGAAGGCAGGACAGTCACCCCGGCTCTGACACGGGCCCCAGGGACCATCCCAGCTCCAATCCCTGGTCCAACCCACAGGCCCAGGTGGTCCAGTTGGCCAAGGGGTGAGGGTGCGACACTTACAGGGAAGCCGGGGAAGCCTTCAGTGCCATTTCCAGGGGGGCCATCTTCACCCTGGGGGAGAGACCAGTCCTGTCACCGTGGGAACCACGCAGGCCTGGACGTCTCCAGGCAGCGTGGGCACAGGGTGGCGTTTTTGTCAGCCTGGAAGGCGTCTCCCTGCCCGGACTGCCCTGGGGGTCCCGGGGGCAACTGGCAGGCAAAGCACTCAGCAGTGACCGCAGTGACTCAGGGGACAGCCACCAAGGAGGATGCCCCCATCCAGTTACCAGACCAGCACCTTCATTTAGACCTTGTGAGCCTGGGGCTCGAACCCAGGGCTTCCCGGGGTCTCAGGCAACCAACCAGGTGCCAGCCCCTCCAGGACTCTGTGCCCTCGGGCCCATCACTCACCCTTTCACCCATCAGTCCGGGGTCTCCAGGGGGTCCTGCCGGCCCGGAGGCACCTCTGGGGCCCTAAGGAGGAGAGAGAAGGTTTGGCGAGGGTAAGTGGCATCTGAGGAGGAGCGGGCAGGGCTGGGCACGAGGTCTTGCAGAGGAAAAACGAGAGGGAGAATCCAATAAAACAGCAAATGCATAGCCCATGGACACAGACAACAGGGCGGGAAAGACCTGGGGGTAGGGGTGAGGGTGGGTAGAGGCTGGGGCGGAGGTGGAGAAAGAGGGTGAAAATGGGAGACATCTACAATACTGTCAGCAATAAATAATACGTTAAAAATAGGTAAAATAGCAGCTGGGCGGTGATTAAAAGAAGGATTTTAAACCTATGGCCTGGGGCTCAGAGTCCAGCCTCCTGCCTGTGACCCACCTGGGACAGGACGGGAAATGGACAGGGGCCCACAGGGAATCAGAGCAGCCCACGAGCCCAACAAGGGCGTGGGGAGAAACAAAAGGACCCAGACATAGGCGTGGCTCCAAGCATGTGCCAACAGTGTTTGGAATAGCTGTTAGGGTTTTAGGGAAATGCTGACAATAAAAATTACTAAACACAGACCTGGTGAAGTCTGTGAGGCATAACATGCAAAGAAAGAAAAAGACCTTGGAAAGAGATAAGCAAAAAAAATGCTCATGTTGTTCATCTCTGGGTGGCTCTATTGCATTTTTTTAGTGTTGTTGGTCTATCATGGTTGGCACTATTTTAAATTTCAATTCTCTTTTTTATGTTTCATGCGTTTCCCAAATGTTCTAAAAGTCACAAGTACTGAAGTGAAATGAAACGTTCACACGTGCTAACGGCACAGGGAAGTGCTGGGGGAGGGGAGGGGTCTGGAGTCAGGGTCGGTCCCTCCTGGGGCAACGGGTACTCACCTCCAGCCCCGGGGGCCCCTCGTCTCCTCGGTACCCTTTAGGTCCAATGGGGCCTGCGTCACCCTGCAGAGAGATGGACATGCCCGCTGCACCCTCTCTCTGCCCACACCAGCCCTGCTGGCTTCACCGGCTGGCCTCCTCCACATGCCCTCCCTGGGCCCAAGGTTGGGGCCCCCCCGAGCACTTCACAGACATCCCCGGCCAGGCCGGAGGAAGGAGGACAAGCGCAGGTTGTTCACGAAGCTGCTGCCCCCACACCCCCCATGCGCCCCGCCAAGACCCTGCACTGAGGCCCTGTGGTCAGGTGGGTGTGTCCAGAGAGGTCCTTTCGGACAAGGTCCTTGCACCACTGTGTGCAGCCCCCCATTACCCAGCCTGTTCCCTCAACCAGGGGCAGCCAGGAGGCAGCGGGCATACTGCTGCCCTTGCCACAGCCACGCGCACGTCCAGCTGCGGCCCGAGGCCTGGCCGGTGCGTGGAGGCACGTTGGGCTGCGTCAGCAGAAAGAGGAAGACAGGGGCATGACACAGCAGTTTCAGCACACGTGGACGAGGGATGGAAATGGAGGAAGAAAGTGTATTGTGATGGAGAAACTGTGTTGTAACAAAGGGCTTTCTTCTAGCCTAATCGAGACCTTTTTAAAACGCTGTGGGATGCGGGACAAATTGTTAAAAATTGTGATTGTCCCGCCAAAAGCGGGACGTCTGGTCACCTTATTAACTATACATTATCGAGGGATGGGCAACAGTAGGTTCTCTTTTTCATTAGTGGATGTAGAGGGCCGCCTGGGAAGGCACACGGACAATTTTCCTTAATTATCGCCAGCTGAACTCAAAGCGTAGGCAGGGCCACGCCCTGGGAACATGTTTCCCCAAGATGGCGGACATGTCAGCGTGGCCTTCATATCAGCCCCGGTGTCCGCAGGGGCGGGATTAGATATGTAAATCCAAGCATGTTAGGGCCTTCTTAAGAATGCAAATAAGTTTGTGTTACTTCCTGGTATGGGGGTATAAAATAAATGTGCTGGGAATTAGTCCTTCTCTTTCTGCCTCTCCAGCGGACAGGATGGCGCCCACCCAGCTCCCAGCTTAAAATCTATCTCTCTTCTCTCTCTATTTCTAATATTTCTCAATCCCTGGCTGCCTCCACTTAGATCCAGTTCGTTCATCTCTCTTTCCGTGTGGGACTTGGAAAAGGGAGTTCCCCGCCATGTCTGGCCCCTGCTGCATCAGGCCCCCGCAAGTTGTGATACAAATAATGCAATAATAACTAATAGTGCAAGAATAAATTCTGTGTTTCCTGACCTCACAGTTGTAAACCTACTTTTGCTAACTCCTCTATGCTCCAAAGGAATCAAAGATATACTAAAAAAGGACAGTAAGAGGAGTGGGCGTATTTGGAATCCTGTAAATGGGCAGGACTTCCTGAACCAAACCACACCACACCACACCACACCAACCACACCACACCACACCACAGATCTGAAAGGTGCCTGCAGCTCATCCCAGCAACCTGTGACAGGCTCCAGCGGGGAAGGAACAACCTGTGAACCCACAGGTGTGGTGGCACTGGGACCAGGCTCAGCTTCCCATGAAGAGAGGACACGGTTTTCACCTGAGGAGCTAAAATGCACACTCAGAGTCTGAGATCACATGTTGGCAAAGGTGTAGGTACAGTCTCCACTATACTCTCCCGAGGGCATTGTAAGCTGGGGTTAGACAGACAGACAGGTAGAAGTATTTGGCAATTCTCTCTCTCTCTCTCTCTCTCTCTCTTTCTCTCTCTCTCTCTCCCCCCCCCCCCCTCTCTCTCACACACACACACACACACACACACACACACACACACACTCATACACACGCACACACACACACACACACACACACTCATACACACGCACACACACACACACACACACACACACACACACACACATTATTTGGCCAAGAAATTCTCCAAAGAATTTACATTCTGGGTATAGTCTTGGATGTATTTCAAGATGGATGAAGGATGGATGAATGAGTGGATGGAGAGATGGATGGATGGAGGGATAAATTATAGGCACAGGTAGATGATAAATTGATGATGAATAGGTGATAGATAACAGATAATAGACAGAGATGGACAAACAGGTAACAGATGGATAGGTAGATGGGTGGCTGGCTGGGTGAATGGATAGGTAGTAGATAATGGATGGGTGATATATCTTAGATAAATGGCAAAGAAGATAGATCATGGATAGATTGGTGGATGGGCAAACAGACAGATGGAGAGACAGAGGAGCTGGCAGTGTGAAGACGGGTATGGATATTTATGACAGCATTTTCCTGTAAAGCCGAATACCGGGGAAAACCCACGTGTTCACTGAAGGAGAGACGGGCCACTCGGTGAGTTTACACATGGGCAGGTGAGAGGTGCAGGGCAGGTCTGCACCCCTTCCCAACTCCTCTCCTGCCCAGCCCAAGGGCAGGCCAGCCCTCTGCTTCCTCAGGTCCCACAATCCTCCCCTACCCCAGCATGGCCATGGAAGGCTGCCACCCATTCTGGAACCTTCTTGCATGCCCAAATTGATGCTCAGCTTTTGGATCTCACACCTGTGCTCCAAAAGCTGAGTGAGTTCTCCCCCGCTCCGCTGTGTGTGTCCTGGGGCACTTCCATCTAGGGGTCCGTCCCCAGTGACCCAGCCTTGCTAGGCAAGGGCAGGGGCTGTGCCCAAGGCCCTGGGCTCCCTCTGCTGCCAGCCCTGCCACCCTCTTCCATGTGATCACTGGCATCCACCCCCCACATCCTCCTCTAGCATCATCCAAGCCAGGGTGCCCCTCCCCACCCACTCTGAGGGCAGAGCTTGGGGGCGAAGTGAGGGTCTGCTCATTCAGCTCTGTGTCCTGTCAAATGACCACCAGATGGCAAAGGGGTCCCTCTGTGAGAGCTGGGCATCTGGGCCTGCCCTCACCCATCCCCATTCTGCTGCTCCAGCTGCCCCCGCCCCCTGCGGCTGGCTCCAGACCCCCATCTCCCGAGGTCTCCCAGGTCATCCCCCCTGGGAGAGAGACCTCCCCACAGATCCCTCACACATGGGCACCCCCTCACACGCCGTGTTTCCTACCGGGTCTCCGGAGACACCGACAGGGCCTTCTCGCCCCTGGTCACCTGGGGGTCCAGCTTCACCCTGGGGAGGAATAAGGCGGTGAGGCGGAGGCCGGAAGGGCGAGGCCTGGGGGGGGCCAGGGCTGTCCACGTGTGCCCGGGCTGCATCCTTCTCACCCTTCCACGTTTTTACCACGCGGTGGCCACGTGCTCAGCTGGGCAGTGACGTGTGTGGTTTCAGGAGGCCCAGCAAGGGGGCCTGCAGCTCCTCCTGGGCCCAAGGCCATCCCTACGCTGCTCACTAGTGGGGTCCTGGGAGCGGGGCCCCATCCCAGGTGCTCTGACCCTGTCTGCCAGGGGTGCATCCTGGAGACGGGGCCTGGATTCGGTCCCATTTCCTATCTCAAGAAGGTGGGTTTGGAAGGGGGGTCGAAGCCAGTTACCCCTGCTTTGATGTCCCCCCGAGCCCCGCCTGGGGCCTCACAGTGAACTCACTGTCCCCACCGGGCACCCGAACACGCACCTGCCCCTCAGCCTCACACGGGAGGTGCGGGGGTAGGGGAGGAGGACAGCCCAGCCCACATCTGAGGCTGAGAGCTCAGCACCCTTTGCCCTAACTCCAGATGTGGGGTGGGGCCTGTCCCCCACAAATCAGGCAGAGTCTGCCTGGCGCCCTCACTCTGGGTCTAGCAAAACCGTGCCACCCAACCAGGGGCCACCAGCAGCCTCGGCCACCGGCTTGGGCAGCATGACTTCCCACCATTCCTGCTCTTGAAGTTTTGACAAAGAAAAGACTCCTCCAGAAATAAATGTTCAGGGAGCTGCTGTGGGAGGCTGCGGGGACTCAGAAAAGCCCTGGTGAGTGGGCAGGGCTTGGGGCTAAGGGAACCGTGTCGCATGGAAGATGAGTGACAGCTCGGTGAGTGACAGGCAGGTCGCCTGAGGGGAAGACACGGAGCTGGAAACGCAGAACGTGCTGCTGGGCAGGGCATTCCAGACCCACAGTCAGTGCCCCGAAGCAAACGCTATGCACCCGGCAGACCCTCAGGGAGCCGACCCCTGTGTCTCCCTGTGGTTGTAGGTGGCCGTCTCCGCAGGAGCTGGTCCTGGGTGATGAGGGCGAGACCCTGCCCCTTGCCCCGCTGCCTCCTCCCAGGCCTGGCTCCCGAGGTCTGGGTGGGGCCGAGGGCAGGAGCTGAAATCTAGGGGCTCTGGGGGTGTGTCCTGCGATTCCGACAGCCTGTCCTCCGTCTGTCCCCCCCGGCGAAGTGGGGTCCCAGCTTAATGCACGGTGACTCACTGGGTCTCCTCTGGGGCCGCGCACGCCTGGGGTCCCCCGTGGTCCTCTCTCCCCGGGGCCGCCCTGTGTGGAGAGACGCAGAAGGAGGTGAGGGTGCAGCTTCAGACTCCTCCATGTGGACACAGGACCGATCCCCACGCCCCAGCGGGCCCCCAGCTGGCGACGTGGCCACATCTGGCACAAAGCCACGAGGCCCAGAGCCCGGAGCCCACCCGCTGGACTCACCCTCTCTCCGGGGGGGCCGTCTGGTCCTGCGTTGCCCTGGGCGAAGGGGAGTGAACAGAGTGTTAGTGTGAGATGGGAACTCGGCCTGAGTCTCCGGAACAGGGAGCAGCGGCCAAACATGGGTGCTCACCTCGTCGCCGGCCTCGCCCTTCTCTCCCGGGGGTCCAGGCTGCCCGGGGTCTCCCTGGGGAGAACAATGCACTCTCGTCCATCTCTGGCCCGGCCAGTGCCCGGACTGCGGCTGGCCCTGTCCCAGCAGCCCCTGCCAGGGCCTGGGCCCCACCCTGGCTGTGGTGGGAGGAGGGTGGGGTGGGGTGGCCGCCCCGTGGATACTCACCTCATCTCCAGGGCTCCCTGTGCTCCCTGGCCTCCCAGGCTCCCCATCGGCTCCAGGCTCACCCTGGAAAGATCAGAGGGTCAGCCGCCCCCCGTCCTTGCTGGGGGACCAGAGACTCCTGCCAGCCCTGCTCACCTGGACGTCAGGCTGCTGCCCGGCCAGCCCCGTGCTCCTCCCCTGCCCCTGCCCAGCTCCGCCCCGGTCCTCCCCCTGCTGCCCTCTCCTCGCAGGGACAGGCCAGGTTCTCATCCCTGAGGCCCAGTTTCCGGGAACTGGGCTCCAGGCCCAGACAGTAACCCTTGAGCTGGAAGGTGACACCCCAAAATGCGTTCCCGGAAACCCATGCGGTTAGAGGGTTGGAGCGTGTGGGGCGGGTCCACACAGCTTCTCCGTCTCCCCTAGCACTTCCTGCGGCCACGAGAAGCCCCAGGAAACGCCAGCAACAAAACTCAGCCTCAAACCCGCACATGGTATCCGCGCCTCGCTCATCTGCCCAGTGGCCGCCATCAGCGTCGCTGCCTGCTCTTACTTCTGATTCCCCATGAGCAGGGAGGCTCTGGGACACAGGCTGTGCAGACACTCCCCAGGCAGCGGGCAGGCGCGGGGCGGCGGGAGGGCCCGAGGCTCCGTGACGCGTGGCAGGGAGCCCTCCCTCTGGGCAAACTCACCTGCCCGTCCGTCCGTCCGTTGACTTGTGATGTTTGACCCACAACCTTTGTTTCCCGCCATTCCCAGCCCCGGCCTCCCCGCTGCCCGCCGAGCAGAGCAGCCGATGAAGCCGAGGCCCAGCCCCCAGGGGGCTCGCAGCACCCACCTTTTCTCCCTTCAGTCCGAAGGCGCCCGCGTCGCCCTTGGGCCCCGGGGGTCCTTGGACGCCCTGGTGAGGAGACGGCAGAGGTCAGTCCAGGGTCTTAGCCAGAGACTAAGAGGCAGAAGGGGATGAGCCGGCGCTCACACCTGAGACCTTACAGTCTTAGAGCATCGGCGAGAGAGAGTGACTTACGTCGAATCCCGGCGAGCCCTTGCAGCCTGGCAGGCCGGGGTACCCCATCTCCCCCTGGAGGGAGGAAGGCAGGGTTGGTGGTCCAGTCTTTGGATTCTGGCTCGCCCACCCCCGCCCCGGAATGCCCCACTCCAGAAGACACCCTGAGCTTGGCCAGGTGGCTTGGGGTCCACTAGGACCGCGGGCTCAGCAGGAAACATCTCCTGCCTTCCCCACTACCTCCAAATTGCCCACATGCGTCCCTACCTGCCGGTGTCTGGAGAGACACCTGGCTTAGCCCAGGGTTTGTGTCTGAGCTGTGGCCCGGCCACCCGCCCTCCCCGCCGCCCGGGGGTCACCTTCATGCCGTCCACGCCGTCGATGCCGCGCTTGCCCTTCTCGCCCTGAGAGGTGCAAAGGCCAAAGGGTCAGGGGAAGGTCAGACCGCACCCACCCGCGCGCAGGACACACGTCCCCACCGCCAGACTCACCTTGTAACCTTTGGGTCCCCTGGAGCCCTGCAGAGACGGGAAGAGTGGGTGAGGGCCGTGGTCCCCCTCGTCATGGGGTAAGTTCCCCAGAGAGTGGCCAGAGAGGCGGAGGAGGGGGGCCGGGAGGGGGTGGGCCCCCCGGATCCCCGGGGAGAGCCGCACCAGCCAACCCCCCACCAGCTGGATGGGGCCCAGCCACACGGCAATGTCATCCTCGTCCGGGTGACAAGCTGTGCCTCACTCACCTTCTCCCCTCGGCTTCCCTTTTCTCCCTGCACAGCAAACAGAGGAGGAGAGGAGGCGGTTACTGGGGTCCCAGCCCTTGCCCTGGGGGATCCCGGATGCACTTTGGCTCAGCCCCGGAAGAGGCCGCTGGGGAGGGAGGGGACACATACCTTCATCCCCTGGTAGCCAACGGGCCCCAGGTCGCCCGGCCTTCCCTGAAACACAAAGGAGGGTGCGCGTTAGACACCCCGGGAGACGGGGCAGCCCCCACCCAGCCTCCTGCAGCCCACTCCACGCAGGCCCCCGCAGTCAGAGCGACTGGGCTGTGGGCTGGCCCGCTGGCCCCTGCCCCCTGCTGGCTGGCACCTGAGGGAGCAGCCCTGCTGTGAAGGCCACATCTCCGCTCCTGGGGGCTCCCGGGAGGGGAGGGGGAGGTCAAGAGCCCCCAGGAGGAGCTAGGATTGGGTTGGGGGGAGACATCGCTACCCTCTCCTTGCACCCCTTTCCCCCCCACCCCACGGGGCACAGGCTGGGCCTGTGGGGAGTCCTGAGGGCATGGGGCCCCGCCCGGGGGATATGCTGGAAGGGATGTCCGTGCAGTGCACCCTCTGGCCCTGGTGCCCAAGTGGCCCTGTCCTCTGAAGACTGTGACCATGACACTCAGACTCAGCCATCCTTCTGGAAGTTTCCGCAGCCTGGTCCCCCAGCCTCCGGCTCCCAGTGCCCCCACCCCAGGGCCAGGCATTTGGCACTCACGGGGTCTCCGGCTTCTCCTTTCTCTCCCGGGAGACCCGGCTTCCCTCGTTCTCCCTGGAACACAAAGCAGATCAGGGTGAGGGGCAGTTCCCCGCGTGTTTCCGCGAAGCTGCGCAGAGGGCCCTGCCTGCGTGCACGGTCTTCAGGCACCTTCCCCACCGCCCTGGCCCGTCTCGGGACATGCGGGGTCAGTGCCACGTTCCCCTCCCTCACACCCTGCCAGGCTGTGGGCTGCCCTGCTGGCTGGAAGAGGCCCCCGAATCTTTCCTCCCTACCACCCTACGCCCCGTTTCTGCTGCTGCGCTGGCCTCCCAGGCTGGCTGCCACATGGGCACAAAGGCGCCCCCCCTAGGGAGCCCGGCTGGTGTAGCTCAGTGGTTGACTGTCAACTCATGAACCAGGAGGTCACAGTTCGATTCCAGTTCAGAGCACATGCCTGGGTGTCGGGCTCCATCCCCAGTAGGGGACGTGCAGGAGGCAGCTGACCCATGATTCTCTCTCATCATTGATGCTTCTCTCTCTCTCCCTTCCTCTCTCTGAAATCAATAAAAACATATTTAAAAAAAAAAAGACACCGCCCTTCCCCCCCCTCCCCCCTGAGAGGCTGGCTCAGTTCCCGTGGCCAATGGCCACACAGCTTCATGCCACAGAAGCTGACGGTTTTTTAGGAGACGCCAGACATCTGGACTTTCCTGAGCAACGTCCCGATGTGTAAATACCAGCCACGCCTCTTGGTCTTCCAAACCTCCCTGCATGAGTGAGCCACCCTGGCGGTGCCTACGGGCATCCCATCCCCCATCCAGGCCCATCTTTGGGAGCCAAGCACTCAGGCGACACTCCGAAAGGGCCAGGGTGCTGTTAGATCCCGCCCCCCACACCAGCCCTGGGACCCTCTCTCCCCACGACTGGGGCACCGCTCAGGTAGGGATGCTTTCACCATCCCCACACCCAGCCCAGTGGCAGGTGCATGGCGGGTGCTCAGGACGGCTGCCTGGGGACCGCCGTGTCCCTCACACCGTGCAGACACTCACCTCGTACCCTGGGTCGCCCCGCGGTCCTGGGGGTCCTCTGGCGGGCTGCAGGGCAGAGGGAACAGTCAACCCTGGACGATCCTCCCAGGAGGCCCCTGGGCTGGGGGGGGGGGGATTAGGGGGCCCACACTCACCTGGCACTCGAAGGAGCAGCACTGCCGGGGAAGGAACAGAGTGACACGTCAGAAAGCCGGGGCCCAGCTGCCGTGCCCTCCGACGCCTGCGGGTGCTCAGAGGGCTCGGCTTGGGCGCCCAGCTGGGAGGGAAGGAGGGAGGGGCCAGTGGTGACCCCCTGGGCAGCGGGGGCGGGTAGGAGTGGAGGGAGGGGCTCTTACCACTTGTTCCACATTATTTTTCTGAAAATGAAATGAAAAAGTTGAATTAATGTACGTTTGCGGCCACAGGATTTCCCCGCACCGGGACACGGGCGGGGGCGGGGAGGTGACAGTGCGGGCCACTCACGATCATGTCGGTGATGGTGTCGATGGTCTGGCTGATGACCTCCTCGGCGTCGCGGCTCTGCCCCCAGTCCGCCGCCGTGAAGTTGCGCCGGTACGTGTGGTCCGTGGCGATGATGCTCAGCCGCGGCTCCTGGGGTGGGCACAGCGAGCGCAGGGGGATGGCGGGAACCGGGGCGGCGGGCAGTGCGGACCCCGCCCCGTCTCTGCTCCTCCCCAGGCCCTGGCTGCAGCTCGGTGCCCGGTCTCTGCAGGCCGGGGCCTGTGCCCCCTCCCAGGCCACGGGCCCGGGGCGGGGCTCCTACCAGGTGGTCGGGCGTGATGGCCACGGAGAAGACTTTGATGCCCAGGTGCTTGGCCTCGTTCACGGCGTCCTCCAGGCCCCCGCACGGCTCCTTGTAGCCCTCCAGGGGGTGCCCATCGGTCACCACAATCAGGTACTTGTTCTCCTTCAGGTGGGAGCCCCTGCAGGGGGTGAGGGGCAGCGTGAGACTCCGCTGGGCTCCCTCCGGCCACCTCTCACCCTCACAGCACAGGGCCCCTTTGGGGAGCTGAGACCTGGTACTGGGAGGAGGAGGTGGGGAAGGGGGGGCAGACACCCCGAGGGAGACCCAGACTCAGGCCCAGGCCCAGCTCTGCAAAGCCGTGTTACTTGTTACACTGAATAAAGTTTTTCTTTGTTGATCCTGCTATACAGTAGGGTCATAAAAACAGACATTAATCAGAAAACAGAGTTTGGTGGGGTCCCATTTCCCTCGAAGACTATTTTGGCAAATGCACACACAGCCAGACGAGAGGCACGAGTCCTCATGCACCCCGAGGCGTCCCGACCTGGAGCCTCAGTCACAGGCAGTGTGTGTGTGTGTGTGTGTGTGTGTGTGTGTGTGTGTGTGTGTGCCGGGGGTGGGGGATGGGGGTCGGCTGCAGGTATACCCTCTGTGAGCGAGGGCACTGGGGGCTATGGCTGGCTGAGCCACAGCCAGGAACCAGCCCTCTCTCTGGACACGGTGGCTGCTGCCTGCTCTCCACTGCCAAGAGTCCACACAGTATGCACAGCCAGCGAAGGGACACTCTTACAGGGACCCCTCCCTCTGTGTCGCCCTCTCCATCCCTGACTTTTGTTGTTGTTGTTGTTAAATATATTTTTATTGATTTCAGAGAGGGAGAGGGAGAGAGAGAAACATCAATGATGAGAGAAAATCATTGATTGGCTGCCTCCTGCACACCCCATCCTGGGGATTGAGCCTGCAACCCGGGCATGCTCCCTGACCGGGAATTGAACTGTGACCTCCTGGTTCAGGTGAATGCTCTACCACTGAGCCTCACCGCTGGCTCTCTGTCCCTGTCTTCTAACGTCTCTGTTTCTCTGACTCCCTGTCCCTGACTGCAGACAGCACCTCTGCTTGGCCCAAGGGTGGCAGTGATGGGGCTGAGAGAGAGGCAGCTCCGGGGGGGCTCAGAGTGACCCTTGGTGGCCATGAGGGCGGCTGGGCAGCAGCCACGTGCATGATCCCCTTGGCCCCTGGGACTGGTCCCGGGGGAACTTGGGCACCAGAGCTTGGTTTGCCAGAGGGCAGCCCAGGCACCTGGCAAGTTTGGGTGCAGTGACCATACGTGGGTCAGGGAGATGGGACCCTCCAAGGACAGGGGCCTGGGCGGCTCCCAGAGGCAGGAGTCATGTCCGGGACGAGGGCCACGTGTGCACGGGCCTGGGGGGGGGTGCTCACCCCACCAGCAGCTCCTCCAGCCCCTTCTTGATGGCGCAGTCCGTGTAGGTGCCCTTGCCGAAGTACTTGACCTTGTCCACGCTGTCCTTGAGCGCGTCGCGGCCGCTGGGCATGCGCGTGAGCCCGCGGATGATCTCCACCTCGTCGCTGTAGTGCAGCGCGCCCGCGTTCCACACCAGGTTGCGGTCGCAGCGGTAGTACCTGCGGGCGCGAGGGGTGAGCATGAGCCTCCGGCTGTGCCCATGCTCACCGGCACCCGGGCTGTCTGTCCAGCGCAAGGCACCTGCCTTTCACAGATGGACCAGCACCCGGCCCATGCCGCCCCGAGGACGGAGCCGTGGGCTGGACTTCCCAGGGGCCCTGAGCTGCCTGCTCCCTGGCCTGGTGGCCACGCCTGGGAAGGCCCGCAAGGTCAGGAGGCGCCGGCTCCAGCCAGCCAACAGCAGCCTCGGCGCCCGATTTCCAGGGACTCCGACTGAGAAGCTGTGTGGGCCTGGACGGCGATGGGAGGGGCGGTGGGAGCAGACCCCGCAATGGGGAGGGCAGAGGTGGTGTAGGTGAGGGGGACTGGGCAAGGCTAGCTCTAAGCAGGACCCTGGGGAGGGGTCCCCATGACCTGACTGGGCGCCTCTCCCTCTGTGTGCATCTGGGCCCTGACGCCCTCAGTGTTGTTCTGCCCGGGCTGGGGGTGGCCTGCCAGGCAGCCCATGAAGCAGATGGAGTGACTGAAGCTCCTGTGGTCATGCTAATGGTAACAACAGCAAGAGGAGCCTATTCCAGTTTACAGGTGGGGAAACTGAGTCACGGGAGGTTGAGTAGAGGCCAAAGCACATGTAGGGAGATGGTGGCCCACGTGGCCGTCCCAACATTCCTCCCCAGGCACCGTCCCCTGGGCCCCCAGCACCTGGGCATTTGGGGTAAGTGTGGGGCTTCCGGTATCATAACGCTCTGTCTTGGGCAGCCACGCCCTTGTCCCTGCAGCCCCTTTTGGTACGGGAGGTTCGGCCCGGTCGGCGGGTCAGCAGGGACAGAAGGGGCTAGGGATGAGCCCTGCTCAGATGGGTGGGGAAGAGTTGGGCTCTGACCTGTGCCCCTCCCCCCTGCTCTGTCCTTCACCGAGGACGTGTCCTGTCCTTGGCCACACCCACTGCTCCAGGCTCTCCCCACCCCACCTTCCCGGTGCTGTGGATTGGTCACACCCATGAGGGAGGGAGGGAGTGAATGAATGAAGTGTGCCATGCCCCAACCCAGACCACCGAGCTGGCAGCCCTCCCGGCCCCTCTGTCTGTGACACTGGGTACACGGGGACATTGCGGCTGGACACAGGCTCTGACCAGGCATGTGGGCAGCGGCTAGTGTCCAGAGGGTTGGCAGGGAGCGCCCCCTCCAGGCTCGGTCAGGGCCTCAGGCCAACTCCCTGAACCTGCTCAGTTTGGTGTGGGGGGCAGTTCCCTGTATGTACTGGGGCGACAGGAGCCCCACATCACAGCTCTGGCCCTTTGGCCCTCCCTGCTGACCAGTGCCCTCCCAGCAGCCTGGTCCACCTCAAGCCCTTCATCGACCCATCTGAACTTCCGAGGACATTGGGAAGGGACTCGAGTGGCCAGACCCGCACTTCCCTGCTTAGGTAGGGAAGCTGAGGCTGGCTCTGCCTGCTGGGCTGAGGCAGACATGGCGCCAGGCCGGCCGGTGCCCTGGGCCCTCTGGCCTTTCCTCTGAGCGGCTGCAGAAATGCAGGAGAGAGCTCAAGGCGTGCCCTCCTACCTGTCCTTCAGGTTGTCGATGAAGCGCTTGGTGAAGGCCTTGACCTTGTCCACCAGGGCCCCGTAGGGCTTCAACCGCAAGGCCACGCTCTCGGAGGTGTCCAGCACGAAGAACAGGTCCACGGGGCAGTCTGGGCAGGGAGAGGAGGCCGCAAGCTCATGCCCTGTGCCCTGAGGCCACACGGAGGCCACCTGCACCCTCTTTCCCTCCCAGCCCCTCTCACCCACCAGCCGCCGCCCCAGACAGCCACTCCCACTGCACCCAGTGGCCTCATCGAGGAAAGCTGGCACCAGCGAGGGGGTGGGGTGACCGTGAGAACCCCCACATTCGGTGCTGAGAATCCTGCCAGGCCGCCGGAAGGCAGGGAGCCCCGCCCTGGACAGCGAAGGCTGCTTTCTCACTGGGTGTCCGTCAGAGTTCAATTTAAAAGTCCCAGGGGCATGAGCTTCAGAAAAAGGTGTGTGGGAACCGGTAACCATGTTTCCTGACTGACTGCCAGGCAAGGAATCAGAGGGGCTTGACTGAGATGGAGCAAAACCAGCACTCGACGGCCGGCCGGACAGTCCGCTCTCGGGGTGCTGCAGGCTGGGACCCAAACGAAGTTCCTTCTCCCACGGGGCCCTCTGGACTCGCCCGGGATGTCCCTAGCCCCGGGGCCGTGCTAGAGGAACCCCGGGGAACTGCACGCCGAGCTGGGGAGTTCCCAGCACTCCAGCGAGGCCCATCTGCAGCTCTCACGTCCAGGGAAGAAGCCAGGTCCCACCCCTGTCTCGGCAGCAGCAGCAGAAGCGCAGGGGGAGAGGCGGCGAGTCCACTCACCTTGGAAGGCGATGGCCCTCTCGGGAGCTGGGAGGTCCTGTGCGGTGGCCCAGGAGGCCTGCAGCAGCAGGGGAAGCAGAGCGTGGGCCAGCCTCATGTCGCCGGCCTGCGTGTCACCATCGAGCGAGGGCAGGGGACAGGGTGGGCTGAAGACAGCCAGAGAGAGAGAGAGAAAGTTGTCTCTGCTCTCCCCGGAGTTACTGCCCGGGAAGGAGGGAGGGGAGGAGGGAGGGAGGGGCCGAGGGAGGAGGAGCGGCTGGAGGAGGAGGCTGGGGCGGGCCCAGGGCTGGAGTGGAGGCTGGGGTCTCCTCCAGCTCAGGAGTGAGTCACTGAGAGACAAGAGTCTGGTCTGAAGCAGCTTTGAGCCCAGGACACCGCTCGGCCGAAGGAGGTGTTTCCCCCGTTCTCGGGGACTGTGCTTCTGGAGGACAAAAGTGCAGCTGAGTTTAAGATGTCTGAAAAAGAACCGTCACCCCAAATGAATTTCCCTGAAACATGTTTCCATTGCTTCCAATCCAGAATCTTCTTGTGGAATTGACCTGCATGTGTACCAATCCCCACACTAACTCTTCCTTCAAATGAGATGCCGTGGGTTTCAAATCCTTCGCTTTGTCGGATTTCTGAGTTATTTTTCACGTATATATTTCTTCAGTTTGGTCAAATATGTATTTGGGAAAGACATTTCAATTTTTTACCGTGAGAAAACAAAGTCAACAAATGTATGTGTTTGAGACCCTGTGGGGGTGGGTTCCAGGTGTGGTCAGATCACCCCTGCCTCAGAGAAGGTTCCAGAAGATTTTGGCTGGAGCTGGAGCTGTTGACATTTGTCTAAAATCAGCCTACATGGTTTATCGTTTAAAAACATACAAACGGGGGTACAACCATCGTAAGGAAGCGTTTGAAAAAAAACTTCAGAAATTATTCTTCTCAGGGATTGTTCTAGGGTTTCTTCCAATATTTTTTTCCGTTTCCCCCACCTCTTTTATACGGTTTTTATAAATTGTACGGGTAATCTTGCTGCGGCTGATTTCCTCCGGATTGTGCCGAGGGCGTTTCTCCCTGGGCCCTGGGGCTGGGTCCAGCTTACGGGCGCCCCATACAAACAGGGTCAGATCTGCGGGCAAGGCTCTGACCTGCTCACTTGGCCTCTCCAGCCTGAGCTGCTTTGTTTGCAAAGAGCGACAACCCTGACATTCCTGCTGGTTGTGTGTAACACTAACACGGTCGAGGCCCAGCCAGGCCATGCGTGATTCCAAGATGGCAGCTGGGCACTGGGCTCAGCCACGTGGCTGAGTGATTTGTTACTCAGCAGGCGAGAGCACGCTGTCTATACAATGGAAAGAAATGTCCACCTCGCTCACGCCGGTGCAGCTTTGTGTGGAAGCAGGGCCGTGTGGGTCTGCCGAGCAGAAAGCTGCTCTCGCTCAGGGACTGCCCGCCCCAGATGGACTGGCGGTGCCTTCAGAAAATTTTATTTTTCCTTAAACAAAAAAGATACGTGCTCATCATAAAGAGATTACAAATACAGAAAAACACCAGAGGCACCCAGAGCTAACACTTCCCTTCTCTTATAGTCTTTCTGTTTAAACATGTTTACAGGCATATGGTCACCGGCTACATACCTGTTTAGACACCTGGTCTTTTCTGATTATAAAAGTGACATGTAGGCACTAAAGAAAAGATGCAAAAATACAGGAAATATGAAAAGGAAACTAAAAACCACCCTGCGCCCTACGTCCAGATGTGCACAGCTGGCTTGCTGTGTTTTTCACATGGTGGGGGTGGGGGAGGCTGTCTGACTCCTCACTCTCCAGATCCTACTCTCCCCGGGAGCGCTGCCGGGTCCTCGCATGGTGGGGCTGCCTCTGAAAGTGTCAACATGGACACCCCCAATCCAGGCCAGTCAGTAGTCAAGGTTCATGCACAAAACCTGTCCCAGCTCCTCCTGAGAGCTGGTGAGAGATGAGCTGGCGGGGATGGGAGTGGGGGTGGGGTGGGGAGGGTGGGGGGATCTGCAGGGACTGGGCTGAGGTGCAGGGATCCTCTGTGGGGGTAGCAGCAGGGCTACTGCAGGTCTGAAGGACCTTCTGGAGCAGCTGGTGGCACTCTGGCAGGTGATGGGGAAGGGCCTGGCCGGGTAGGTGAGCCTCTGTCAGCGTTCTTGTGTCCGGGTAGCCCCTCTCTGGGCCAGTTCCACCATGAGGAGCCTAGGACAGGGCGGTCCCATTTCAAGGGAGAGGAATCAAGGCTCGGGGGCAGAATGAGGACATGGGCTGGGTGTCCAGGAGACTTGTGGGACAGGCCTGTCCCCGAGGACCTGAGGGAAGAATGGGATTGGTGACAGGGAGAAACCCCTGCTCATCTCCGGAAGGCTGTTTCAGGGAAGCTTTGGGTGCCATGTGTGCGTGTGCGTGTGCATGTGCGTGTGCATGTGCGTGTGCGTGTGTGTGTGTGTGTGTGTGTGTGTGTGTCTGATGGTGCCCAGGAGGTGATATGAACCCTGGAGCCCCAGCCAGTCCCCTGCTTACCCCCTGGGCTAGACTGGGACCCTGGAGTCAGTCCCCCTGACAGGAGCCTCCACGAGAACCCTGGGAAGCCCTACTTTCTTCCCCCCATTCTCACGTCCTGAGACTCTCGGTGCCTGGAAAAGTCAGTGGGGTTGAGGGTGGGGTGGGGTGGAATGGGGTGAGGTATGGGGTTGGGGGTTAGGGGTGGGAGAAAGACCCACAGCTCTGCTGTCAGAGTGGTGGGAGCAGGAAGGAAAGACATCCTGATGGAAATCTCCTGTGTCCCCAGGAAAGTGACAAAGGAGACTCTGGTGCTGCCAGGCCTGCTCCCTATGGAGAGGGGGAGGGAGGGTGCCTGCTGGGCCAGCCTGGAGCCCCTGCCCCTCCTTCCACTCCTCCTTCCCCGCCCCCCGCCTTCCCTCCCTCCTGGCCCCGTCCTCTCTCCGTGGAGCAACAGCGCCCCCTGTGACACGCAGACCCCAGCCTAGGGCAGGACCTTCTTCCTTTAAAAAAAAAAAAATCAAATGTCCTTTAAAAAAAATCCTTGTCTTCCCTCCTTCCTTTTACTTTTGCTCCAAGGAAACCTCCCGGCACTAGAGGGTGGTCCGGCCTCCTCCTGGCTCCTCCAGCCCCAGTGGGAATCTGGTTGTGCCTGGAGCCCTGAGCCACATCCACCCCAGGTTCAGCCAGAGTTGACCCGGTTATCCAGATGGGGAGACTGAGGGAGGTTATCTTCCCCGTAGCCACAGGGCAGGTGAGCAGCTGTGGAGACAGACCCAGGCCAGTGGCCCTGGCTGACCCTCTGAGCTGAGCCCACCTCTGCCCTGCCCAGGGCAGCTTGGACGACATAGGCAAGTCATCCTCCTTGGGCTCCAAAAACACAGACCCCACCTGACAGAATGTTCTAGAAAAGGAAAACAAACACAGCTGGGGCAATGTCGGGACCTGGGGGCGGGGGGGGGGGGGGGGGGGGAGAGACAAACCCTCTTAGCATCTGTTGAATGAAACTTTATTTCTTCTTGATGCCTCATCTATTGAGTGAATTTTCCTCCCAACTTAGAACATGATTCATCAAGGAAAAACGGTATTTCCCACAGGTTACACATGTGGTTTCCATGGCAATGTGATTGCAGACCTTGGAGCTGGCGGATGCCAGCCTGGTCCTCACCCTCACATCCCCAGACCTGTCCCGGGTGCCGTCCCTGCCCTCAGCTTGGATAGCCTCTGTCTGTTCTTGTGTCTGGTAGGCCCTCCCCATGCCAGCTCCACCATGAGGGGCCGGTGTTCTGGCCTGAGCACCCGGGACAGGGCAGTCCGATGGTTTGCAGACGCCACAATGAGTCAGCTAGACGGGAGCTGCCAGGGGTCCAGTGGTCACGTCTGCACTGCGGTCGGTGGGTCGATGGGGCAGGACTGAGAGGTGTGGGAAGGACCTGGGTGGACTGGCTATGGCCAGACTGGCCGCCCAGGAGGAAGGTCTGGCCCCAAGGGGGCATCTGAATCACCAGGCCTGTAGGCAGGTCCCTCCAGAGAGGGTGCAGACAGCCAAACCCAACAGCAGAGAGGCAGGAGGGGAGGCAACCCCCCGTGGAGCCCACGTGTGCCAACGCCCGGAGGGGATGCTGAGGCTGCTGCTCGGAGGGCGGGGGCCTGGCTGCCGGCCTGCTGCTGGCTGGGATGGGGATGGGCCTCTCACCCGCAGGGTGTGGGTGAGACCAAGCTCCTCACTGGAACGCAGCCTCCAGACTTACTTGCAAAAATCGCACCAGATCGTATGTTTGTTTTTACTGAAAAAGTGCAGTAACACCCCACACACTCAACAAGGAGATTGTTCAGTGGATTAGGAGCTGCAGGGAGGAGCGGGAGTGGGGCGGGGAGGCCGCAGGACAGTGTCCAGATGGCTCCGAGGACCTCCCCTGAGACCGCACAGTCCCCCATGCAGAGCCCCGTCCCCAGGTGTCTGGGACGTCTCTGGACACCGCCTCTGGTTATGAGGCAGGTGGGTCCGGGCCCAGGAAGAGATGTCGACGGTGACCGTTACACTGTGCTGCTGGCCCGCTGCTTATTTTTCTGCTGTGACCACCTGCATTCGTTTAGTGTAAGCGGCCCTGAAGCTCAGTCCTCGCAACCCTCCCCGCCCTCCCTCCTGGGACACTGGCCAGGGCAGCCATCGTCAGCTGCACTTTAGAAACTCAGTGAGCCCCTCTGGCCCCCTTCCCAGGGCCACGTGCATTGTCTGACTTTATCCTCGTTCTATTGCTGGGAGCAGAGAATTGTATTTTCTGGTCAGAATCAGACACAGAGGCTGTGGTTTTGAGCACCATCATCTGAAAGAAACATTAAAAAAGGAGAGAGGGAGGGAGGAAGGGGGAGAAGGGTGTTGTCCAGATGAGATGATCTGGGACAGACTGACACCATGCAGGTGGCCGACTCGAGTGTCCTGGTGGTGGGTGGCCAATGCTGGTCTAATTGCAAGGGGAACCTGGACCCGAGGGCCACTGTGCCTTCTTAGGTCACACAGAACGGTCCTGGCATGTGGGCATGGGCTGGTAGCAATGGTAGCCCATGTCAGGGGCCAGTCAGACCCCAA